TTTCCTTCTTTTTTAATTTTTTTTTTTTGGTGGGAGATTTTTCAAACTATTTATTTATTTTCTCCACTTATGCTATACATCGTAGCGTCAATCGAGAATTTTTACTGAATAGAATAAATTAATAAAATTGACCCTCGATATTTTTTTTCTACCGGTCGCGGATAGAAACAGTATATCCGTCAACAGCAGCTCGACGAAGGTGTTCGGATGCTCGAATTCTGCTAAAGTTTACTCTTACGACAACTTCACCTAAAAAAAGTTTCATGGAATGATATTACATGAAAAACGAGTAAAATTTGTCTCATTCACTAAAAAAACCGCGAATGTTCGAAGACTTACCTCAGTAGAAGTTATTTTTCTTGTAAAGTTTTTTTGACTAAGATATAACGTCAAATACATAGTAAGGCTATTCAATAGGACGAAAATTATTGAAAAAAAGCTTTGAACGTCTTTTTGAAAAATCTCACTTTTTCTGAGCTCTATTTGAAAGTTCGCGAATTCTTTTCAATTACATCTGTACGATTTTCACTAGAGTTTGCAATTATTGAAATAAGCTATAACCCGAAAAAACCTGATATTGCAAAAAGTTGAACTGGTAATGGGAAGAAAGATCAGAGGGGCCGTATGCAAGAAAAATTGGAAAAATCATGTTCCGTCATCTTCTTGAAAAATAGAGAGCGGCTTGAACTCATCATTAATTCATTAATCTTGACTTTTTCCAATGTAATGAGGTTTCATAAGAAGGTTCAATCAGGATAGAACAAAAATTCATGTATAAAAAGAAAAAAATCAAAGTCATATTCGAGTTTCAGGAAAAATCGTGGAATTTTTTTCACCTTATTGCACAGGATATCGCGGCATGAAAGAGAATAGTTTCACTTTTTGAGCCCGAAAGAAAGTTAGAAGAAAAAAATACCGTTTTTTTTCAAACTGTAGTGAAATCTCTCCTAATGAGCCGTTCGCACTTTTCCTGATGATGGACCAACATTCATCGTTTTCTTTTACTCCGATACTTCATCAATGTGGATTCGAAGGAATCTAATCCCGCTGAAAATCTTGTTCTCCTATGAGATATAAAAAAAGGTGACCTTAATTGCAGAAGAATTGAACAGTCTTGAAAAAAATTATTGATAAAGTTCAGTTTCTAAATGTTCAAAAATTCACGAAAAAGGAAAAACAGATGAATCCAGTTGTTGATGTGTTCTAAATTCACGGACTATACCGAAGATTTGTTGGGCGAAGCTTCAAAACTATTGGTTCTAGTGAGCATGAGATGGTCCGCGTTGGAATGGGTTCGCCTGAGACTTGGTTCTGATTTTGGTTTGGAACATCATGGTTCGAAAATGAGCCGGCAGATTTTCTCGACTTGGAAGTACATCTAAAAATGACAAATCATTGCAAAAAGAGAAATTTTGTTCAAAAAAATTTGAGAAATCAACGGAAGAAACTGTACCTTTGGTTCGGAATGAACATGTTTTTGGTTCGGAATGAACACATGAAAAATTCCCTTTTTGTTTCGGATGATTACTCAATTGGTTCGGAATGAATACTCAATTGGTTCGGAATGATTAGGTTCGGATGAACACTTGGTTCGGATTTGGTTCGGAATGATCAGGTTCAGATGATTGTAGGCCATTTTTTTGCGATACGCGGTGTCCGTGACCGAGCCTCACGATCACCGCCGTGCCCGTATATAGACGATTCACGGCTAGCTTGGGACGCAAAAAGGCGTGGCCTGTCTGCACTCTCCACCAACCAGGGCACTGTCTCGTCTCTTTTCGTGGCAGGACCCTTTTCTCGATGGCTCAAGCCAGCCGTGAATCAGCTATACTGAACTCGTGCAAAGAGCAGTGCCTATGCCGGCATTTTGCAAAAAAAAGTTGCACGCATCCTGCGAAGAGCTTTGCATTTTGCATATAGTCTGTTCGGATTTCAAATGTCAAGTTCTCGCTGAAGCTCCGCCCCCTAATGGCGCCATAAACCAATCAGAGAGCGAGCCATCCACAGAGCGTTTTCGAATGACGTCATTATACTTGACATTCAAAATCTGATCAGACTATATAGTCTGTTCAGATTTTGAATGACTTGCATTAATGTTTCAAAATAAAATATCCAGAATAGTATTGTAAAATTCTAAAAAAGATCTTTGGAAAAAAATTCGCACAAGCCTGCCTGACGCACAGGCTTGTGCGAATTTTAGCGTGGCGTGTGCGTTCGCGGTTCTTGGCACGAGTTCAATTAAATTGCCTTCGTCTATTTAAAAAGCTCGGCAACCGATCTTTTTCAATGTTTTCTACTATTTTTTAATGAATACATGAACATAATCAATAAATAATTGAAAAAGGAATGAAAAGAGCGAAAAACGGGATTTTCAAAGAGTCGAGGGTGGTTGAATTGAACACGTGCCAAGGACCGCGAACGCACACGCTATAGCCTATTCCGCGCCAGCTTGTCACGTTTTTTCTTCCGCCAAAAAGACCGTACATCAAATTAGATCAAATTTCTGCTTTTATAACGGCAAGAAACACAGGTCTTGAAGCGAAAGTTGGTTAAATTCGACCTGGCCTTTTGGCGGAAAGAAAAACGTGACAAGCTAGCCCGGAATGACCCATACGCCCCCCGCCACGCCTCCCTCGCCTTTCAAGTCGGAAAACATTGACTATATAAAAAAAGCCTGGGTGGGCTCGGGCCAGGCCGGCAGAGATGTACGGAACAGTTCAAAAAATTTTTAATCAAAAATAAGTAGATGATCGTGAAGCTATGCCTATTGGGAAATTATAGAACAAATAACTGTTTTGAATTTGGCTGTCATAGCTCAGAAAAGTGGAAAAAACAGGTCAAAGTTTTGCAAAAAAGTGCGGAACGCGGAACTCGGAAAAAATTGCTGTTTTTTGGATTTTCATTGAAAATGGTAACTTTATTTTGGAATCTTTTCTGTTCTATACTTTCCCATAGGCATAGCTTCACAATTATTTTTGATTAAAAAATTTTTCCCTTCAAAAAATTCCCACTTCCGCGTTTTTTTTGCGGAACTGTTCCGTGCATCTCTGCAGGCCGGGCTTCGAAAGAAATTCTTAAAGTTCACTTCGAAAACATTTTACGGAAAAATTATTTTTACTTGTTGAATCATAGTTTCGTGAACTGGTTGGAATGAATCTCACTCCGCAGAGCTCGTGAGATCGGCTGACGCGATCTGATAAGATCACGTCCACGCCGGATATAAAGTTCAGTCCATAAGAGCAAACTGGGTTAAGCTATATCATATAGACTATAGAAGCCATTTTTTGTGTCTCAGTGCCCCCTATAGTAGTTTGAGTAGCCTAGTAGCACCTCTCCGACTTCTAAAGAGGCCGCTTGAGTGACCAGTAAATCGTCTCCTATAGAGGCCACTAAAACGTACAAAACCCTCAAGTGGCCCCTTAAATCATATCTACAGAAGCCACTACTTTGTTTCACAGTGCACACTATAGTAGTTTGATAAGCTTAGTAGCCCCTCTGCGACTTCTAAAGCGGCCACTTGAGTGACCAGTAATTCGACCCCTATAGAGGCCTCTAAAATGTTGAAACCCTAAAGTGGCCACTTAAAGGATCTCTATAGAAGCCACTATTTCGTTTTTAGTGCCCACTATAGTAGTTTGAATAGCCTAGTAGTACCTCTCCGACTTCTAAAGAGGCCGCTAATTTTTAGCTACTTAAGGAACCACTATAGCAACCACTAAAACATCAAAACCCCAAAGGGATCACTGGAAGTTTTCACAGAGAAAAAATCCTTCCACTTGCAACCCTGGAGGATAGCTGCTTCAAGAAACAGCATAGAAATACACTTCTTAGGTAATTTGAAGTGGTCCCTATAGGGGTTCGGGAGAAAAACAGCCCTTATAGGGGCCGAAAAAGTGGTCCCTATAGGAGTAAAATCAAGGTGGTCCCTATAGGAGTTCAAAGGTATGACCCATTAGCGCCTAAAGCTTAAGTGGTCCCTATAGGGGTCATCAAATTTTTATTCAAAAAAGGTTTTTTTTTCCAGTTTTCGCATGGAAAGTTCACATCGAATATAGACTAGAATGTTCCCTATAGGGACCACTTTTGCAAGCTTTAGTGGCCCCTATAGGGGCCCCTTGTATCCTCCTCCAGAATGACCCCTATGTTTAAAATTAAAAAAAAACCTTCCAAATTTTTTTCCACGACGTCCGTTTGAGCATAATTTCGCCATTTCGCGCCCCGATCGCCAACAAATCATTGGCCGGACTGAATTTCAGGCAATGAACCTGGAAAATTCGAACTTGATATCAGTTTTTAAGGCTGTGATCTTCAAGAAAAGTGTCATCTTTTCGGTTTTTTTCTTTGAATCTTCTTTTTGATACATATTTTTTGAAAAAAAAAACTGATTCATTTTGCATTTTTCGAAGTTTTCATAAGGCATACTCAATGGATAAACTCTTTAGCAACGGGGAAAACTATCAAACTTTAAAAAAAAAACTCGAAAATAGCCATTTTTATCAAATTCTGACACTTTTTCACAAGGAGGAAGTTAAAAATCGAAGAAAAATTATAAAAAACGGAAATCTTCTTGTTGTGCCCGCAGGTGGCCAGTGAAGACGTTATAGTAGAAGATTTATTAGTAACAAGAAACTAGACTATGCTAGCCCCTTTTACAATAACAAACAAGGGGTTATATAGTGCTGAGGGAAGAGATCCCGAAGATTATGGAATGTTCCAGAATAAAGGTGGAGTTTAGATAGTATTTAGATTAGAGTAAAAGATGGAACATTCCAGAGTTTTAGAGATCTGTCCCGGAAGCATTAGAAAACTTTATACATGATCCCTATGACGTAATGAGACTAGAAATGTATCGAAAACTATATAACATTCTAGAATCAGCTTAATATAAGCGTTATGCTCCAACACCTCCCTCCTAAGATGATTGTTACATTTCAGAAAGAAAAGAAAAATAATCATCTGATACATGTAAACTAACGTTGTAGGATTAGGGATGTTTGACTTCAGGAGCGTGAAGTTGACGTGTTGAGCGTCCTGGGCACGGCTTGAACAAAGTCGTAGTCGTCTGGTGGGCGACGTCTGCGGCGGCGTCGTCGTCTCAGCGATCGCAGTGTTCTTTTGCACGTGTTGATCTTCTTTGCGTTGTTGAACCCGTGGCGTTGTCGGCATGTCTGCTTGCAGGTTTCACGTGGATGTCGACGCAAAGATGCTGCTCGATGTCTTCCGAAGGAGTCGATGGAGTCGGCCGTGACAGCGTGGACCATGTTTGGCTTGACGTTGTTGAGCAGGTACGAGGCAGGCAGTTCCTTGGCGCGAAGAACGGCACCGTGGCACTCGTTCGACCAGTTGAGCGACTGGTAGTTGAACCGGCTTGCAGCAGGAGAAGTGCGGCTCCTGTTGTCTTTTGCGGCAACGGCGTCGTCAATGATTGTTGAATCCGTCAACTTGATGAGCTGCGAACCATCGTAGTTGAGCGGTGGCGGCATCCTTTTGGAGTGACCCAACTCGGGGTCCAAGCGTTCGTCCTTGTCGAGCTGTCAGATGTACCAAGCGTCAGGCAGAAGCGAAGTGTTGCACATCGACAGGTGAGCGCGGAAGCTGTTGTGGTACCATGGAGCTTCCATTGAGTGGCGGTCTTCGTTGGTACTGCGGCCGTAGACGTTGTAGTCTGCATTCGAAGTAGCGCCTTGTGCTGAGATCTTGGAGTCAAAGATCTCGCTGATGCCAGGAACAGTCGACCCAACGTCTCGCAAACGGATGAATTCGTTGATGTAGTCGAACTGCTTGAGCTGTCCTCCGATCAGCTTGTTGAAGTCGTCCTCAGAAGATGAGCGCTGCTGCTGGTGCAACCACAGCGAGTCGTTGAAGTTGGTCGAAAAGTTGTGCACTTTCTTCTTCTTGACCACGACCTTGGGAGCTGCCCAATGCGAGTTGTTGACATTGTTGACGTCGTCTTCTTGATGGCGTACGTCTTTGTCGGTCTTCGCAAATTGAGTGACGATGTTGAACCGCTTCATTTGAACCGGTGACGCTTCAGGTTTCAGGATGAGATCAGCTTCAGAATTCGTGCAGCTCTCGAAACTTTCAGCGGCGACGGAGTCGAACTTCGACGGAAGTCGTGCGACGGCGTCTTCTTTGATCTTGTCCAGAGTCCAAACTGATATCGTCGTGATATCAGCGCCAGTTTTGGTCTCAGAAACTGAAGTCGTGCCAGGTTCTTCTTGTCGACGAGGCTCTCCAGACGGCGTGGTCGTACGGCTTCTGTACGGTGACTCGGGCCAACGTTGACGGTGGGAGGAAAGAAGCGGTGTTTCTTGCAATATCTTCTTCGTCTTGTGGTCGTCGTTGAATTTCTCCTCTTGTTGCTTCACTTCAACGAGTTGTCGAAGAATTTCCAAGGTCCGATCATGACCTTTGACGAGGCTGTCGAGAAGTTCGATGACGGATGATACGACGTTGACAGGTTGAGATGGATCTCCGGTAGAACTTTCAGATTGAGGAACCATCGACTGATCTTCCACGGTCGGCGTCGTCTTCGATTGGCGACGTTTTTGACGCACAGCTTTACCATCTTCTGATCTTCCGGAATAATGTGCGGCTGATCCCGATGTGGTGCTGGCCTCCAGTCTTGAACGACTGGAGCGTTGTGAAGTGCGACTTCCTTCTGCTGGACGCACTGAACGGTGCGCGACTTGTTCTTCTGCAGTCTTTGAGTTTTGTCGGCGTCCCGGCTTGTTGCTTCGGTTGTCGATCCCTTTCGGTTGACGGCAGTGTGGTGGAGAATCCATAAATTCGACTGTTGGTCGTCGTTGGCGTTGAAGCGTAGACGTTCCGACAGTCATCTTGATCGCCAGATGTTATGCTGGTGACCGTGACTTGAACGCTGTCGACGTATCTGATCTGGTTGCGGAGCACGGTGAATTCGTCAGCTGTAGTCGTCCGGAATGAAGTGGAGTCCAATCAGCTGCTATCCTGATCGCCAGATGTTGTTCTGGTGATCGTGACTTGAAGCTGTTGTCGACGTAGCTGCTATCCTGATCGCCAGATGTTGTGCCCGCAGGTGGCCAGTGAAAACGTTGTAGTAGAAGATTTATTAGTAACAACAAACTAGACTATGCTAGCCCCCTTTACAATAACAAACAAGGTGTTATATAGTGCTGAGGGAAGAGATCCCGAAGATTATGGAATGTTCCGGAATAAAGGTGGAGTTTAGATAGTATTTAGATTAGAGTAAAAAGATGGAACATTCCAGAGTTTTTAGATATCTGTCCCGGAAGCATTAGAACATTCGAGAACAATGTGGAACCTTCTAGAAAGGTAGGGAACAAATGAGAAGATTATGGAACTTTCTAGAAGGGAAACCTTTATACATGATCCCTATGACGTAATGAGACTAGAAATGTATGGAAAACTATAGAAAATTCTAGAATCAGCTTAATTAGGGACCGCAGGCCAATTTCCAAAGTCAGTGATATAAAGTTGAAACCTATATGAAAAGAAAGCTGATGGCAATTGAGAGCTAACTGCGAAAACAGAAAAGAAAAATATGAAAAATGAAAAAAGTTATAAGCAAAAAAGTGGCGAAATCGGGGGAACCATTTTTGTGTAGAAACTTTCGTCAGGGTCGCAGGAAAAGGGGCGTGTTTATAGATGCCGCGCGCTCCTTGCTGTGCGTTAATTCACGCAGGAGACGTTTCGAAAACATATTTATTTGAGTTTTTTTAGAAGTTTTAAATGAAATATTAGAGTTTTCATATTGAATATTGCTCTTTTTTTCAATATCAGCCTACTCTTCAAGCACTCACGCTGCTGAAAAGCGAGTTTTGAAGAAGGTTTCAATGCAATTCGTAAAAAAAGAAAAATAACCGACAAAATAGACCTTTGCGAAGGACGAACAGCATTAAACCGAATTGAAAATGTAACAGTCTACTAAGAAGTTTACTGAAAAAAATATGTAAATAATCACCAAGTCCTTTTTTTCAGAGAGTTTTTTTTTTAAAAAAATGGGCGAAATCGTTTTTACTTTTTGATTTTCTACTTCTTTTTATTTTTTTTCTCTAAAGTTTGTGCGTCTACATGGAGTGTACGTAGACAATTTTTTTCAGAATTCTTTACTTGACATTCTGAAAAAATTCAAAAAAAGTTGAGTAAAAGCGAAATTTAATACTTTTCTCGCTGCTATAAGGGATATAATGATATAGGAAAAAAAGATTCCAATTATGAAATGAGTAAAAAAAGCAACTATAAAGCCACAATAAAACGAGAAAAACTTGAATAGAATACATAAATAGTTTTAAAAAAACCTTCTTCACGCTTTCGAAAAAAATTTCGTGGCCTTCGCGGTGTCTGCAGATTTCCAGCGACGCGCAGTTTTAAAAAAATAACTTTCGAGCGTTTAAATAAACCATACTTTTCGGGCCATCCTAGGAATTTTTTTATTTTTTTGATATGCTGTAGAGAAATGTCTAATGTTTGATATTATGAAATAAAAAAACTTGCCCAGAACGCTTTTGGGCCGTTTTTCAAAGCCTTACGAAAAAACCGAAATTTTAAGCTTTCATATAAACTATATAATCGATGAAAAACTTAGTTTTCTATTTTTTTAAAATTTGCAAACAACTGCAAACAACCGTTTAAAAAAATATAATCAGTAATTATCGATTGCGTTTTTTTCGAAAATAAGGAATTTCGAAAAATCGTGATTTTCAAATTGCGTTATTTTTTTGAGGCCAACCATAGAATTTTTTTTATTTTTTTTGCCAGAATATGCGTTTTTTTAGTTGCTTTATGATATTCAAGAATAAAAAGTTGCCCAGAAACTTTCAAGAAAAAAACAGGGATTTTTTTATCCGTTTTCGGCCACAAATGCGTTTTTAAAAAAACTGTCTTCATACATTCTTATTTCTTATTTCTCATTATTTTCTTTTATGTAGAATTGTTAAGCATAGCCGATTGTATGTTTCCCTCAATTTTTTCCCAAATCGGTACAAGAAAACTGTTTTAAAATATAAAAAAGAACCAAAATGCAACGAAAATGACGAAGTTTTTTGAACAGCGAAGTGGGCGTGGCTCTGCGGTCCCTAT